GAGGTCGGAATGGCAGAGGTTGCAGTCTCTCCCAAACCTCAAGGTCTCCGCAACGTTTCCCAAACCTCCATCCCCAGGCCTGGCCCGGAAAATGACGCCCCGGCGGTTATTCCATTTAATGTCAACTCATGTTAAGGAAATATCCGCTCCGTCTCATTCCAGCCGGGCCTTGGATTGGGATCCTCCCTGTAGCCCACAGCCGGGAAGCAGGACCCATGGGGCCTGGTCCCGGCGCCCATCGCCGGCTCCAAACTTTCCCCAACTCCAGGCCCACCTGTCACGCAGGGAGGGAGGGCCAGCCCTCGGGGACGTGCGGGAGGCTGCGGGGTCTCCAGCTGCCGGCGTGCCCCTCTCTCGGCCGTCCGCCCTCCCCACTCCCAGGCCGGGGCCGCCTGGGCCTCCNTAGCTCCATAACAATCCCTTTACAAAATCTTTTTCTGACCACTCCCTGGAGCAGTAGGTTTGTCTCCACTCTGGACATCTGCTTTTAGCACTCCTTCCAAGCAGGGAGGGGCAGTAGGACACCATTTTTAAACTCCTTCCATCACCATTAATGCACAGGCTACTTTCAGCAAATATGTCCATCCTTTCCAAGAGATCAATTCTTGCATGACCCTTTAAAAACCTCTCTTTAATAGTAACAGTGGAAAAAGAGCGTACATTACATAGAACCCTTTCAAACACGTATTAAGTAGTTATTGGAATGACTGGCGTGATTTTTAAACTCACTGAAAACATGAATCAAACATTCTCCTCTGCAATCTAACAACTCCACAATTTCCAATAACAACCCCTCCAAGTCCTCCAGTTTCATTTCCCTTCCTGGATTGAGAGCCTGGGGCAAAGGGAAATGAAAGGGTGACAAATTAAAGTTTCACCCACACATACAAGTGCAGGTGAGAGAAGAAATTAGGAAATTCTCGGAAGATTATAAAGGCGTCTTTTTAAAAAGAAAAGCAAAGAAAAAGAGATTGGGAGAGTGAGTTTCCCCTAAGTAAGTGGCCTTCCTCGCGTCTCGCCCTGCCCTAATCGAGGTCGGAATGGCAGAGGTTGCAG